AGGTGACCCAAGGGGCCAATCAGGGGACATGGAGGTTGAGTCTCTGGGGCCTGATTGGTGAGGAAAGGGAATCCCAAGTCCTCCCATCGTCTTTTACCCTTTCAAAACCCCTGGGCTAAGTCACTACCAGCCAGCCCATCACAGGTAAATACCTAGAATTATAGAATTATAGAAAATTAGGGTTGGAAGGGACCTCAGGAGGTCACCTAGTGCATCCCCCTGCTCAAAGTAGGACCCTCCCCAAGTAGATCATTCCAGCCAGGGCTCTGTTGAGTTGGGCTTTAAAAACCTCCAAGGATGGAGATTCGATCACCTCTTTATGTAACCTGTTTCCAGTACTTCACTACTCTCCTAGTGGGGAGGTTTCTGCTAATATCCAACCTAAACCTCCCTTGCTGCAACTTGAGAACATGCTCCCTTGTTTTGTCATCTGCCATCACTGAGAACAGTCTAGCCCCATCCTCTTTGTAACCACACTTCAGGTAGTTTAAAGGCTTATATCAAATCCCCACCCCCCATCAGACTTCCCTTCTGCAGACTAAATAAGGCCAGTTCCCTCAGCCTCTCCTCATAAATAATGTGCCCCAGCCACCTAACCATTTTTGTTGCCCAAAATGTCACAGTACTCCAGAAAGAGCCTCACCACTGCAGAATAGAGGAGAATAATTGCTTCCTTTGATCTCCTGGTAACACTCCTACTAATGCAGCCCAGTATGCTGTTAGGTTTCCTTTACTGGCAACGATGGCACACTGCTGGCTCATATCCATCTAATTGTCCACTGTAACCCCCAGGTCTCTTTCTGTTGAGCCTCTACTTAGCCATTTGGTCCCCAAGGCTGTAGCAATGCAAAGGATTTTTCCATCCTAAATGCAGACCTGTGAGCTTGTCCTTGTTGAGTCTCATGAGATTTCTTTTGGTCCAGTCCTCCAATTTGTCTAGGTCATTCTGAATCCTAGCCCTACCCTCCAGCGTATCTACTACATCCCTCAGCTTAATGTCATCAGTGAACTTGCTTAGGGTGCAATCCATCCCATCTTCCAGATCGTTAGTGAAGATATTGAACAAAACTGATCCCAGGACTGACCCCTGGGGCACTCCACTTGATACCACCTGCCAACTAGACATTGAGCCACTGATTACTTACTACCCATTGAGCCCAATGATCCAACCAGCTTTGTACCCACCTTATAGTCCTTTCATCCAACCCATACTTCTTCAGCTTGCTTGCAAGAATGCTGTGGGAGACTGTCTCAAAAGCCTTGCTAAAGTCAAGGAATATCACACCCACTGCTTTCCCCGTAACCACAAAGCTAGTTATCTAATCAAAGAAGGAAATCAATTTGGTTAGGCATGACTTGCCCCTGGTGAACTCATGCTGACTGTTCGTGAACACTTTTTTCTTCTCCGAGTACTTAGAAATAGATTCTTTATGGACCTGCTTCAGGATTTTTCTGGGGACTGACATGAAACTGATTGGTCTGTAGTTCCCTGGATGCTCCTTATTTTTTTTCTTAAAGATGGGTACTATATTTTTCTGGTTTGCAACTGTCTGAGACTTTTCCTGATCATCATGAGTTTTCAAAGGTAATGGCCAGTGGCTCTGCAATTTCATCAGCCAACTCCTCCAGCACTCTTGGATGCATTGCATCAAGCTCCATGGACTTGTATACATCTAGCTTTTCTAAATAGCCTCTAACCCAGGGGCTGTCAACTGTTTCAGGTGGAGGGCCACTTAGGGAGTTTTAGTAAGCTGTTGAGGGCCACATGGGCAGCCCTGCCCCTTGACTGGTGCCCCATCCCCTAGTCACCATCTTCGGACCAGAAGTCCCTCCCCTGACCTCTGACCCTTGCCAGTGGAAGTCCCTCCTCTTGCCCCTGGAAGTACTCCTTTGGGGAAAAAGGTTTGTTATCTTAGAACCGGAAAAAAACAAATTAAGTACTAAAAATCAAATACCCATAATATTATATTTTAATTGAATTAACTAAATATTTTTGTCCTGATATGTGTGTGTTTCTGCTTTATATGTAGAAGTGATGGCATAATAGCTCAAAATGCAGTCTTACTCTTGTATAGTGTGCGGGGTGTGCAGAGGTGTTGGGGGGTATGCATGGGTGGAAATGGGTTTTGGGGCAAGCCGTGGATGTGTGTGCGGTATTTGTGGGATGTGTGATTGTGTGTGGAGGAGGGTGTGGCTGTAGGGTTTGTAGGAAGGTTTTGAGTGTATGTGAGGTGTGCATGGGAGCGCCCTGTGCACTCCCCACTGAGTTGATCTGTACCCGTCCCTACTTTTCAATAATCCAGAGCCCAAGGGTGAGCTGCCAGTGGGTAACTAGGCCTCTGATATGCAGGGGAGCCTGGGCCTCCCCCCCAATGTGGTGCTGTGGCCAGGGGCTGGCCATGGGGGGAACCAGCTGGGCCCTTGCTGCCCGAAGCCTTGTGCACAGGTTTGCACTCTGACGTCCCCTGCTGCTGCCAGGAGGCTGAGAGCCACCAGGGAAGGGCCTGGTAGGCCCAGGAGGCAGTGTGGGGGACTCTTACAGCCACTGGAGGTGGAACAAGCCAGCAGAAACATGGCCCAGTGTGTGGGGAGGTGGCACAGAACTTGCATGATGTGGCTGAGGCTTGGGGTGGCAATGACCCTGCTCCACCATCAATGAGTAGCCTGGGAGGAGCCACTACCCCAGGGGAAAGGCCTGCTCCACCCCCTGCAGGGGCCTTGATGCCTGGCATCAGCTTACCCCCTGGCCCTAGGATGGGTGGGGAGGCTGCACCAGGAGCTGGAGTGGAGCCACAGTCACTCTTCTGTTCTGGAAGTTCCTGCAGCTTCCAGGAGGCCAGAGGCCCTGGGGAAGCTCCTAGCCAGCGCCAGGGGCAGTGTATGTGTGTGTGTGGGGGGGTGCCTGAGGCCATTGGGGTTGGCAGAGACATGGCCTGGGACATGGGAAGCCCAGGGAGGTGGCGTGGAAGTTGCATCCTGCGCCTGAGGCTTAGGATGGGAACAGCCTGACTGCTCCCCCCATGGGCAGTCCCTGAAATGTGCCACTTCCCTGGGGGGAAGGCCCAGCCCCCCACCCCTCAGGGGCCTGATGGCAGCTCATCCTCTGGCCCCAGGATTGCCAGGGAGGCTGAGTCAGGAACCAGAATGGAGTCGCAGCCACTTTTTTGCTCTGGAAGCTGCTACAGTTTCCCTCGGCTTCCTGTGCCCTGGGCTGGGACCCTGCAAGGTCATGCCACCCCCAGTGGCCTTGGGAGGCAACCCATGCTGCCCTCAGGGCCATCCAGGAGTTTCCCTGGGACCCCTGGGCTCCTCATGGTTGCAGGAGCTTCCAGAGCAGAAAAGCGGCGATGGCTCTTCTCCTGGTCTTGGCACAGACTCCCCACCCATCCTGGGGCCAGGAAGCAAGCTGCTGCTGGGACTCTGCAGGGCAGGAGGGCCCAGGCCTTCCCCTCAGGGCAGTGGAACCCACTGGAGCCTCCTGTGGGGGGCACAGCCAGGCCATTGCTGCCACAAGCCTCAGGCACGCAATTCAATTTACACGCCACCTCTCCATGCTTCCCATGCCCCAGTCCACATCTCTGCCTCTCATGCCTCTCCCAGTGGCCCCAGGTGCCCCACTGTGCTTCTCCCAGGGCTGGACAGTGGGGTTGGGAGCCAGCAACAGTCAGGCAATGCCGTGGGGCTAGTTCCAGTGGGGCACAGAGCAGGGCGGCAGGAGCCCAGGGCTCAGCTGGCTGAACTCTATGGAGTCAGGCTGGGCTGCCCCAGCAGGGAGAGGGGGGAGCCACCCCACTCTGGGCCCTATCAGCACTGGCCCTAGGACACCAGCACTGGCTCTTGTGTGCTCCCTTGCTCCTAGCTCCCCCACACCAACCCTGTGATCAGGTAGGGACCAGTGTGTGTAGCTCTGACTCCACCCTTACCTGAGTTTCCTGCTCTGGCACAGGCGGGAACATCCCCATGGTCCCAGGCCAGAAGCCCCTGCTAAGCAGGGGCTTCCAGCTGGGGGGGGGGTGTTGGGCAGGCCCTGCTCTTTCAGGGGCCTGCCATGGCTTCCCCTGGGTCCTACTGCCCCTGGCTCCTGTCATTTTTGACAGGAGCCAGAGGCAAATAAATATTAATTAAAAAAAAAAAATTAGGGGCTCCACAGGCCAGACAGAATGGCCTAGTGGGCCAGATCTAGCCCATGGGCCATATTTTGCCCACCCCTGCCCTAACCTGTTCTTTCACCTCTGTGGGCTGCTCACCTTCTCCCCAAACTGTGCCGTCTGGTGCAGTAGTCTTACCTTGCCTGTGAAGACTTAACTAAAGAAGGCATTGAGTGCTTTATCCTCTTCCTCATCACCTATCCTTAGGTTGCCTCCCCATTCAGTAAGGAACCCACACTTTCCCTGACCTTTCTTTTGTTGTTGACCTACTTGTAGAGACCCTTCTTGTTACCCTTCATGTCCTTAATAGCTGCAAGTCCAATTGCATTTTGGCCTTCCTGATTTCATCCCCCATCCCCAAGCAATATTCTTATACTCCTCCCTAGTCATCTGTCCAAGCTTCCACAGCATGAAAGCTTCCCTTTTGTGTTTAAGATCACTGAAGAGTTGTCTGCTAAGCCAAGCTGATTGCCTGCTATATTTTCAATTCTTCCTGCACATTAGGATAATTTGCTCCTGTGGTCTCAGTATGTTTTCTTAAAAATACAACTAGCTCTTCTGGACTCCTTTCTCTCTCAGACTGGCTTCCCAAGGGATCTGGTCCATGAGTTTCCTAAGAATGTCAAAGTCTGATTTTCTGAGGTCCAGGGGCCTTACTCTGTTGTTCTCTTTTCTTTCTTTTGTCAGGATACGGAATTCAATCATCTCATGGTCACTGCTGCCTAAGTTGCCATCCACTTCTATATCCCCCACCAGTTCTTCCCTATTTGTGAGCAGCAGGTCAATAAGAGCATGACCCCTAGTTGGTCTCTCCAATACCAGGAATTTTTCTCCAAAATTCTCCAGAAACTTCCTGGATTTCCTGTGCACTGCTGTACTGCCCTCCCAGCAGATGTCAGGGTGACTGAAGTCCTGCATGAGAACCACAGCTTGTGATCTAGAAACTTCTGCCAGTTGTCTGAGGAAAGCCGCATCTACCTCATCCTCCTGACTAGGTGGTCTATAGCAGACACCCTTGTTGCTCTTCTCTCTAACCTTAACCCAGAGACTTTCAACAGGCCTATCTCCAGTTTCATACTGGAACTCTGAGCAATCATAAGGCTCTTTTAAATACAGCGCAATTCCTCCTCCTCTTCTCCCCTGCCTGTCCTTTCTGAACAGTTTGTATCCATCCATGAAAGTAATCCAGTTACGTGAGCTATCCCACTAAGTCTCTGTTATTCCAATCATATCATAGTTCCTTGACTGTGTGAGTTCTTCCTGCTTGTTTTTAAAGCTCCATGCATTCATATACAGACATCTGAAGTAAGTAGCCCATTACTCTACTTCCTCAGGAAGAATGAGGAGGCCTCCCCTGTTCCCCCCTCCTCCTTATGCTTCCTCCAGGTCTCCCACTTCCCTGAGGGATTTGTTTTCCAGTCCCCTGCAAAACTGGTTTAAAGCCCTCCTCACTAGGTTAACAAGCCTGTCTGCAAAGATGCTTTTCCCTCTTTCTGTCAGGTGGATCCTGTCTTATCCTATCAATCCTTCTTCTTGGAGAGAAGAATCTAACTGGTGTTTAGTTTAAGAATGGTTGTTTTATACACTGAAACTCATAATAAGAAAAGTGGCTTTCTTCCAGTTGCCAAATACAGGGCAAAGTTCTTTCTTACTTCCTTGACTGAATAGGAAAAAGTGTCATCTTCACTGGCAATTACTTTGACTAACATGTGGTGCAAAATTAGTTTTAGACTGTTCAGAGAAATTGAGCCAGATTATCCTGGACCAACATACTTTCCAAAAATAGCAAATAAAAAAAATAGGGATTCTATTAGGTTCTAAAAGAAAGCAGCTATGGCCTGAGGGACACAATATGCAAGAAAGTGAAGTTAAACATATTTAAACATGCCTGCTTCTCAGTTGTTTAACTTTGTTTGTATTCCTGAGACACTGTGGGTCTCTCTACATGTGCATTGAAGTGTGACTAGATTTACTGAGCATTAAGCTGATTTGCAGTAAGCGATTTTTGGGTAGGTGACTATACGTGCAGACAACTGGCACTAAATTTAGTGCCAGGTCCCTCCAGTCCTGCCATGTGCCCCTGTGGCCACTGGGTGGAGCTGCAGCCTCTGGCCCCAGCTGTCAGCACTTGGCAGTCATCTTTAAAACACAGCCCTGCACTGTGACGACTGGGAAGCCAGTTTCAGTGCTCAGAGGAGCAGTGTGGCATTCACAGAAGCAGCACGTGGCAGCTCTGTTCATGACCCCTCCCTGTTCCTGAGCTATGGCTGTCTCGGCCCCTAGCACTAGCAGTGAAAGGAAGGGTATCCTAATCCTGCTTGTTGCCTCAGTTGCACTGCTGGCCTGCCACATTCATGGTCACTTAGCCCATGGCCATTTTGCTCCACCCAGCTCCCCCACATGCAACAACTATCTGACCAACCACTGTGTGCCCTCCCAGGGGCCCCACCATCATGCAGATGCTGCCACCTGCCACACTGATGAGGGGCTCTAGGAGGCCACTGCTGGGGCCACCATGGCCCTCCTGGTCCTCCTACCCCAATGACTCTGGGTCCACTGCACCAGCCAGGACTGGTGGTAGCGCCTGGTGCAACATGACTGGGATGATGAGCAGTGAGTTGGCACCTTTAGGATGACTCGGACCCCACTTGCTGACCTGCTTCATCAGCTCCAGCCCCACCTCAGGTGTCAGGACATTGGCATATGCCTCACCCTCCCTGCCAACACCCACTTGGCTATAGTGCTGCTCAAGCTGGCTGCTCCTCCCAGCCTACAGTATGTGGGGCACTTGTTTGGGGTGGCAAGGCCAAGGCTGGGGTGGCCATTCTGGAGGTGTGCGGTGCCTTCCAGGATGTGCTGACAGACACCATCCTCCATGTCCATAATGCCCAGGTAGTGGGCTCAGGGTTCTGTGCACTGGGGTTCCCCCAGTGTATTGGGTCCCTGGATGGGATGCACATTTTGGTGACCTGCCCACCCCACAAAGACCAGTCACAGGGGGTTCCACTTGGTCCTGCAGGTGGTCATTGATTACCAGGGGACCTTTACCCATGTCAGCACTGGCTGGAGGAACTCTGGACTGGGACCACCGGTGGAGAGTTAGCATTTCACACCAGGAGTAGAGGACCTGCAGCTGAGCAGCATCATCATTCCACCCCTGCTCACTGGGGACACAGCATACCTGCTTCTCCCATGGCTGATGAGGCCCTACACCAGGCACCTCTGGATCTGTGCTGGATGAGAGGAGGCTCAGGCTGCCTCCTGGAACTGGCACTGGGCACAGCCTGCACCCAATGACGGGGAAGATTTCTGCTGCTGCCGGTCCCGGGGGGCAGCAGAAGCCTCCTGTCATCCAGCACACAGATCAGGGAGCTCACAGCCCCAGGAGGAGTCTGGCACAGCCCTGCAGCCCTCCCTGGGGTGCGAGCCCCCAGATCTTTGCACTAGATGACAGGAGGCTGCTGCTGCTGTCTGGGACTGGTGCTGAAGCCAAGCATGCCTGGCTTAAAAACTTGAAATGTTTTGAAATTTTGAAACATTTTGAGTGCTCTTGTTTCATTTCAAAGCCTTTTGTTTCATTTTGATTTCACTGTTTCAAGCTTGAAACGTGTCAAAACAGCTTCAAAATGAAACTCCCGGTGAAATTTTGCACAGCCCTACTAGACAGCTCCACTTCACAGACCCCCATCCTGGGACTCACAGAGACTGAGACTGTTGTACATAGTTTTGACACTGAGAAGTGGGTTTTTTTATTTTTGGTGGGTGGACAGGATGGTGGAGGGGCTTTGTTAGTTGAGGGGGAACGAGGAGAGGGGAGTTTATTGGTTGAAGGGGAAGGGGCTCTGTGTGTTTGGGAGAGATGGTCCCAGGAGCTCTGTGTGTTGAGAGGGTAGGGATAGAGGTGGGTGTTATGGGAAGAATAAAGCTTTTTTGTCCCAACATGTGCCTGGCCTGAGAGTGGTGCTGGGGTGGGCAGGGGGTAGGGCATGTATAGGTGGTGGGACAGGTATCCTAGAGAGGGGAGTGCTCCATGAGGTGGTCCACCAGAGCCTTCTGCATATGTCCTGGCCCCCGCTTATGGGTGCATGGTTCACCTGGGACCTCACTGGGGGGACCTGCCACTGTCACAGTAGCTCATGCTTCTGTCATCAGGCCACCTCGGCCTGGCGTGCCTCCTTTGCCCAGACCTCCTGGAACAACTCTCCCCAGGCCTTGCAAAAATTGTGGAACACACAAACTTCTACAATGCCCCGG